GTATATTAGGGGTGTGCGATATATATCGTCTGCGATAATATCGTAATTGTTGTTTTAACGATGTGCGATTTGACATTATCGAGTATTTTGCAAAAACCATTCAAAACATCCCTACAGAGCGCACGCATACATTACGTGAAGTCTAGACTAGTGCGTGTGCGCATTTAGTGCGTTTTCTTTCACTGCATGATTCAGTCTATTAAATGCATTTTTGGTAGCTTAAAAAATGGCTTTATAAAGGTAAAAATGCCCATAAAGTCAGTTTGCTCAATGGTAATTTTTGGAGAAAACCGGCACTCTTCGTGTGAAGGTTTTCTCCAAAAATTTCCATGATTACAAATGTGACATTGAATTCAATAAACAATAAGTTAATTAAGAGACTTACGTTTTAGACACCATATTGCTTGTTTTTGCTCTATTTCGCCAACAAAACTCATTCCGAATACAGCCACAGTGCTGTTATGCGTCTCTGAGCAACATGACGGTGTTTCGTTCTTGAATGAATCAACCGTTTAAATGATTCGGCTCAATCGCAATAACTCACTTATTAACAGTGACTCGCTGACACCTACTGGCGGTTTTAATTTCAAATTTCTGCTTTTTCTTTCTTTTCTGGATTTTTTTTCATGTTTTAAATCATTTCAAATATCAGTATTCAGCGCTTTATGTTTAATATATCAAAACATTATGTATGCATTTGTAATTGCAGGTTAAATGCATTCATGTCTTGCATTAAACAAAATACATGTGTGTAAATACCTAAATGCCACTTCAGATGCAGCTTCTGTGTTGATTTAATTTGCTTGGTAACAGCCCAAATGTCTTATTATTCTAATTCCCTGATTAAATGTAAGAATTTGACTCAAAAGATAATGGACACTTTTAGAAAAAATGGCTTTATAAAGGTAAAAATGCCCATAAAATGCAAAACTCAGTTTAAACTTATTGGAAAAGATTCATTTCTATCAGTATGAACTAACCACCACACAGAATATGAAGAATATTAAAAACATTAGGAGTCAGCTGTCTTCGACAATTTTCCACATACTGTACATTATTGTTTCTCCTCTATGCCCCGCCTTTCTGAAACGCGTTGATTTTTACAAAGCTCATCGGTCTGAAAAAGCGAGTTATGCTGTGATTGGCCAGCTATCCACTGCGTTGTGATTGGCCGAATACCTTAAGCGTGAGATGGAAATGTTACGCCCCTCACATACTGTTGATGCCGTGTCCGGTGTCTGATATAATACAGCAGCTGTGTGTTCAGAAGTTTGTGTGTTTCTGTTCTCAGTTCGATTGTTCACTCTCTCGCGACTCGCGCCACACCGAACCACAGCGGAAGTGACGTGAGGACGAAAACCATGGCAGAGAGCAGCGAGAACAGACGTTGACGTTCTTTAAAAAAGTAGATATGTTTAACAGGATTTAGAAGAATTCATTTTTTTCTATTATTATTATATAATTTTATTATTATTATTATTTTTTAATTATTATTTTTTTTTTAATTATTTTTTTTTTTTTTGGTCCACACTAGTAGGTGGCGGGAATGCACATATCGCTTGTTTGCCAACCGCCATAAAACTCCAAAAGAAGAAGAAGAAGAGAGCAGACGTTTTAGAAATCATTTTAGAGCAATATTCGTACAAATACAAACGACGACTTTCTGGTTAATAACATCCTTATTTGTGGATTTTATATAACATTACACAAATATAAGTATTTCAGAGTGAAACCTACGTTTGGTGCATTTCACAATGAGTTTATTTCGTATACTACAAAAACCCTTAAGATGATGCGAAATATAAATGCATTTAAACTTTTTTTTTTTTTGTGCCATAATAGAGTAATATAATTTTTTAAGTAATTTTTTTCTTTTATGCAGCTGATCCTACTGTTCTAATACAAATGTTATTGCTAAGTTGTGTGTACAAAAACGTTTTGAATAGATGCGGAAATGTGTTTTTAATATTTCAAACGCAATGTTTTATGCGATTAATTTATTATACTAACTCGATATTATTTGCACAAATTAGAATGGCTGATATTTTGTTTCAAATAGGCCTAATTATTTCTCATGTTCTGTTCTCATAAAAACCAGTAGCCTACTTTATTTGAATGTTTAAACATTATTACAGTGATGCAACTTTGAATGTGCATTTGAATTTGGTCGTACATTGAAACATATTGACATAACGTGCACAAACTCTACAGATGGCGCTGCAGGCACATTCAATATTTGCAATGAGGCCATTTTTATTAATGACATGAACTGGTTTCAGTAACATCAGCTCTATGAGAAACACCACAACCCCTCGAGATTACATAATCTCCGTGTGTGTACTGAAATGCATTTTGACTCTTTTTTTTAAGCTCAAGTAAACATTTTGTTGAGGTTTGCATCTGTTTCTCTAGCAGATTCTCACACCTCCTCCTCAGGCTGGAGTCTGTGAAAGTGAAAGGGAATATCATGGTCCGGGTGAGGGTAGAAAATACTGTGATTTTCCTGAATGTTCTACCACCAGCTTTAAATGGGAAAAGCAGGGACTGAAGTGATATGTTCCTCTCCAGCAGCTGATACCATCCATCCTAAAAATAGAGCCAATCACTCAAGCAGCCACACAGATATGCACCGAGCACTCTCCAGTCAGTTCTGTCCTCTCTGAAAGTAAAGAAATTCTATACATTTACACAGGAAACTCCGAGAACAACTCTACGAGAAGTCAAAATGCCAAAGATTGTGAGACCAGAGAATTGGCATATGGTGTGAACATGAGGGCTTATTTGAAATGGTGGAAGCCGCATGCCGATGTCTTCGAAGGGTACATGTCATTTTTGCAATGAACTCAGGACTTAGACTAAAATATATGGTTTCTTTATGTTAGCTCAGACAGTGATGCAACAGTTTGCAACTTAATGAGAAATACTTTGTCTAAACTGGTTCTTTCATTTCTTTAGTCAACCAACCAGAACACTGTGGTACGACCGGAAAAAGTATGTGACTATCAACTTTGTGGTTCAAAATCCAAAAGATGTTCAAGTGCAGCCATCATCGCTTTGCATCAAAATGGCCTCACATGCAAGGAAATTGCTACAAAGAATATTGCACCTGAAAGAACCATTTACCGGATCATCAAGAACTTCAAGGAGAGAGGTTCGACTGCAGTGAAGAAGTCTTCAGGATGTCCCAGAGTGTCCAGCAAGCGCCAGGACTGTCTCCTCCTGAAGAATCGTGCCACCAGCAATACAGAGCTTGCTCAGGAATGAAAGCAGGTTGGTGTGAGAGCATCTGCACTCACAGTGAGGCCAAGACTTTTGGACAACGGCCTGGTGTCAAGAAGGGCAGCAAAGAAGCCACTTCTCTCCAAGAAAAATGTCAAGGACAGACTGAAATTCTTCAGGAAGTACAAGGATTGAACAGCAGAAGACTGGTGCAAAGTTATTTTCTCTGATGAAGCTCCGACTGTTTGGTACATCTGGAAAATCGATTGTTCGGAGAAGAAAAGGTGAACGCTGCCATGAGTCCTGTGTTGTGCCAACAGTGAAGCATCCTGAGACCAT